TCTTTTTCCTTTCCCTTCCCCCTACCCTTCCCACTTTCCCTACACCTTTAGCCCTTTTCTTCCTATTTCACATTAATTATCTCATTAGGATCTTGTGTACTATTATAGTTTTTCACACCGGAGAAACTATTTGATATTTATACATGAGTGACTTATTTATTTCACTTAGGATTATATCCTCAATATGTATCCACTTTCCTATGAATGAATCTAATTTCTCATTCTTTATGGCTGAGTAGTATTCCATTTTATAGAAAAACCACATCTTCTTTTCCAGTTTCCAACTGATGGGCAAATGGGCTGTTTCCAAGTTTTAGCTACTACAAACTGTGCTGCTATAGGTTAAGTTTTTAATTACATCTTCAAACGCATTGACTGCTACTGGTTCATTTAGAATTTTTATATCTTCTTAATTCAGCTTTGGGAATTCATATGTACTAGGAATCTGTCCATTTCTTCTGTGTGTTCCATCTTATTAGAATACAGGTTCTCAAAGTATTTGTATTGATGATATTCTGAATTTTTGCAGGATCTGTTATGATTTCACCCTTTTCATTCCTGATTGCATGGATTTGAGTCTTTTCTTTCCTTTTTTGGATAAGGTTGGCTAAGGGTTTGTCAATTTTATTTAAGCTTGCAAATAATCAACTTTCTGATTCACTGCTTTTTTATATTGTTTTCTTAGTCTCAGTTGCATTAATTTCTCCTCTGATCTTTATAATTTCCTCCCTCATATGAGCTTTGGGCCTAACTTGTTGCTCTTCTTTTCCTAGAAGCTTAAAGTTCAACATTAGGTTGTTTATTTGAGCTTCTTCTGTTTTTCTGATATGAGAATTCACTGCTATAAATTTCCCTCATAGAATTGCTGTCATTGCATCCCATAAATTATAGTATGTTGTGTTGGCATTATCATTTAATTATAGGAACTAATTTATTCTTTAATTTCAGCTGTAACACACTTGTTGTTCAGAAGGGTGTTATTTGAGTTTCATATGTTTATGAAGTTCTGATTTCTTTTGCTATTTATTTTCAATTTTATTGCACTGTGATTTGATAATATGCATGAGATAATTTCAATTTCTTTGCTTTTACTTAAGCTTGTTCCATAAGCCAGTGTGTGGTCTATTCTGGAAAATATCCCAGGTGTAGCTGAGAAGAATGTGTATTCTGATGTTGTGGGGTGAAACATTCTGTAGACATCTACTAAATCCATTTTTTCAAAAGTTTAGTTCAGTTCTGATTTTTAGTTTTTTGTCTAGTTGATTTATCTATTTGTGACACTGGGATATTGATTATTATAATTGTGTTAGTGCTTAGTATTAGTATTTTTCTTGTCTGTTAATATTTGTTTTATATAGATGAGTGCACTGGTATTTGGTACATATATATTTATGATTATCATCTCTTCCTCTTGGATTTTTCCTTTTACAAGGATGTAGTGACCTTCTTTGTCTCTCTTAGTCTTGGCTTGTAATCCACTTTGTTTGAAAATAGAATAGCTATCCCTACTTTTTTCCAACTTTGTGTCCCATGGAGTATTGTTTTCTATCATTTGACTTTCAGTCCATACATTTCTCCTTGAATTAAATGTTTTTTATGTGCAGCATATTATTGGATTCTGCTTCTTGATTCATTCTGCCAGTCTGTTTGGTTTGCTTGTTGAATTGAAACCATTAACACCAATGTTGTAATTGATATGTACTGACTTATCCTTGTCATGTTATTTTCTGTTGTCGGTTTGCTTCTTTTCCTCTACGTTTAATTGTTTGCCTTGCCTGGTGGATTCATTCTGTTGGGGTTCATGGAGTTGTAGTCTTTGTTATCTCATTCTAGAATGTACTTCAAAACATGTTGGAGTGCTGCTTTGATAGTCATAAATTTCCTCAGGTGTTCTTTGTCATGGAAGTATCATTTCTCCATTAATTTTTGAAAGATACTTTTGTGGGGTACATCAGTCTCAGTTGGAGGTTGTTTTCTCTTAGGGCTTGAAATACTTCACTCCAGGCTCTCCTTGACTTGAGGGTTTATGTTGAGAAGTCTGGTGTGATTCTGATAGGCTTTTTTTAATAGATGATTTTTTTTTCCTAACAGCTTTTAATATTCTGTTCTTGTGTTTAATTTCTAGAATTTTGACTAGTATATGCCTTGCTGTAGATTTTTTTTTCATTATGGCTAATTTGAGTTTTATCAGGCTAATATGCTTGACTTATCTGTATGTCAAATTCTTTTCACATGCTTGCTTGGGAAGTTTTCTACTATTACTTCTGTGAATAGGTTTTTTTTATGTCATTTCCACTATCTCCTGCTTTTTCACTGACTCTGATCACTTTACTGTTACTCTTCCTTTATCACCTAGCAGCTGTTGGATTGGCCTTTCTTATACCCTTGCAATTTTTAAGAAAACATTCTTTTCATGGTCACCTATTTCAATCCTATCTTCTCTATCTGATATTTTATCTTCACATTAGCTCATTCTACCATGTATACTTTCAATGGAATTTTAATCTCCTGGATATCTGTTTGAATCCACTTCATGGATTGAATTTCTTGCCTATGTTGGGCATTCATGGTTTCCATCATTTTCCTAAGCTCTTCTATTTCTTTTATCTTTAGCTACTCTAGAATTACTAAGCATGTCTTTCATTATGGTCACTTTCTCTGTAGTTATCTGAGAAGTGATTTCTAATTTAATTTTTTTCTAGAGTCTCATTCATCTGCTTTGTTACTTTTGCCGTTATCACTTGAGAGAGTCCAAGTGGGTGGCTTTTCAATGTTCCACCTCATTGCCCCCTGGGTTTGCCTTTGGTGAGCTGGAAGTCTGAGGTTATATCTTGCTTCCGTGTCTTCTCATTTTCATTCTTTTTTAAAAATTTAATTCCTGAATTGATGCTTATAAATTGTTTTTGAAAAGTACCTTTACTGATAGTATTTAGAACCCTTAGGAAATAATTACTTCTCAGAGATGTCTTCCAGGCTTTTGAGTTTTAAATCTGTTACAAGATCCTACTTCTTCAATTTATTGGGGATGAGAAGCTTCTGTCTACTTGGTCCAGACCTTGATTCCTTGGCACTGTTATTGTTTATGACCCTTAAACAATCTCAGTCTTAGCATACCAGGAAGAGCAACAGATTAAAACAATTATATCACCTTGGCTAAGGCAGTACAATCAGCAATAACAATAGCATCAAACACAGCCTAGAAAATGATAAATTGTGGTAACTATTGCCACTTTTAATGGTAAGAACTACATTGTGGTTATATCAGAATCTATACCAAACCAGAAAATTGTCTACAGTACATAAGCCCTCAATATGGCAATTTTATACACGGGAGAAAATTTTAAATGGGATGGTGAAGAATCAGAGAAATTGAAGAAGAGGAAGAGATTTGAAGCAAGCATGGAGGACACAGGAAGATTAGAAGAACTTTTGGAAATTAGTGAAGAAGACAGAGGGAAAGAAAGAAGGAAGAAGTAAAAACACAAGTAGGTAGAATAACAACAGTAAAACTAGGAACAATGTTCACACATATAAAGAAAAGGATGATCAAGAAAAAAAAAACAAGAAAAATAAATGCTTACCTCAAAGAGTGTGTCTGCTGTCATTGGTAGATTAATTGGACAGACAGCATCCAGATCCATGTTGATCAATCCCAACAAGCCAGCCATAGATATACCTCAGGGTAGTGGATAATCCCAGCTGGTCTATACTTTTATTTCCACTGAAGTTCAGACTGTTTCTGGCTGTAAGGATAGGCCTGATTTGTTCTAGACACTCTGGGTGCCTCCTGCTGGCTGGAACTTAGCTCCTGGACCTCCTGTCAATTTAACTCAGCAGCCTTCCCCTCACACTGGCAGCTGCTACATGGAACCAGCCTGCAGCTGCTCTGAGTTCTGAGCTCAGTTGGCTCCTCTCAAAGATGGCTACTGGCCAATTACCCTCTCCTGGGGTGGGCATTTCAACCTGAATAACTCACCAGCCATGCAGTCCACTGTGTCCACAGCTCCATTCCACTGGTGCACTTCTCTATGGAAGCCTCTGGGGTCCACAGTAGTCACCATGCATCTGCATATTTGAGCCACCCCTCCCACAAGTCAGGTCTCAAGTGGAATCAGCCATTTGTCACCTCTTTCTTCATTGATGTCTTTCTCTTCAGTCTCCCTATGGGCTTCAGTTCTCACTTCAGATCCTTCCCGGGTCCCAGGAACCAACTTCCTTCCTTCTTCTCATCCTCACATTGCTATATTACAGCATCTGGACACCAAATCTTAGAGAGGCTCTTTCTCTGCTATTCACCACTCCACCTTCTTCCTGGAAGTCAGGTCTGTATATAAATTTAATAAACATCATTACAGCACAGTGTCAGAAGCTCACCTAGGTATCTGATAAATATTAATGAAATGTTCATAATAATTCTACATATTAGGGCTGAGGATATAGTTCAGTGGTGCTGTGCCTTGCTGAGTTTGATCCCTGGTACAAAAAAAAAAAAAGAGAGAAGAAGAAGAAGAAGAAGAATTCCACATATTATAACTTTTGTACATACCACTTTACAGGTGAGTTCAGATAGAAGGAGATTAGGTAAATGGCAGAGCTGGAATTCAATACCAAACAGCAAGCCTTCAGAGACCTTGCTTTTTTTTTTTTTTCTTTTCACCTTGCTTTTAACCACACCAGCAGATGACTGTTTCCATCTTAAAGGCCTTGTTGTCCCACTGCACTGGTCCCCTTACAGGGAAGACAGACACATAAGAACAGAAAGGAATGAATTGAGTGCTGGAGTCAGCAGCAGTGGTAATAGCATTTGGAACTCTGCTATATGAAGATATTGAAAAATGCAACCTAATGCTTTCAAAGAAAAAAGAGGGGGAAGAGAGGTATTATATCACACCATGGACGAATTGCATATTCCCTAGATTTGTGTATGGAAGCCATATAACCTGCGTGACTGAAGTTTATAAAGAAGTATTTAAAATTAAGTGAGGTCCTGAGTGTGGCCCATATACAGTAGGGCTCATGTCCTTATATAAAGTGACATCAGCCAGGTATCTCTCTCAGAATTCACATAGAGGAAGCCATATGGGCACACAGTGCAGTGGCAGGCAGGAGACCCCAGAACACAACCTATCTAAGTTACCAGGGCTTCCTAATTGGGCTTCCTAGCCTTAGTAACATAAGACAAATTTCCATTGTTTAAATTACCCAGCCATAGATTTACCTCAGGGTAGTGGATAATCCCAGCTAGTCTGTACTTTTATTTCCACTGAAGTTACCTCTCAGCCTCTCTTTCTCTCCCTCCCTTTCTCTCCATTTCTCTGTACACACACACACACACACACACACACTCACACACACACCCCACACACACACACAACCACTTTTACCAAGTCTTGTTTCTGCTTCCTTCTGAATTGATTTTATTGGGCTTCCTCTGTATTCTGTGAGTCTGTCTTCCCAGCTCCCCTAGTGGGCCCCTAGACTGGCATGTGACCTATTGTGTGATCTTAGTGAAATCTCAGGAAAAACAACGCCTTTCTTTCTTCACGGCACTAATAAAAGAGTTACACTTGAACCTTACTAGCCTCTCTTGAGTCAGGTACCTACCCCTGAGCCAACCATCATTCGCCAGGACAATGAATGCAATAATTGGATAAACCAAGGAAAGCCTGCAGCCAGGAATCAGGATCAGCCCCTGCTGAATTATAGGCTGAAAGGGGGAATACTCCCCAAAAGGAAACCTAAATGGCTGCCACAAGAGAGAAAAGAAGAAACATCAGAAAGGCCAAACCATAATTAGTGATACAAACTTTATACTAGGCAATTAGCTGTCAACTATAGCTGCACATTGAAATAACATGGGAATTTGTAAAATCTACAAATGCCAGATGCTTACCTTTAGAGATACTAATTAGATGATTTTCCCCAGACTCTTTCTTTCTAGGATATAAGGACTGGGAACTCTAGTCTTAGTTCTTCTCTTTTGTTTGGTGTTTTAATGCAATCTTTTTGGGGATAGGTTATTAGAAATGAATTAGAGAGTCCCTTTTCAAACACTTTTTTATATTGTGCTAAATACTTCTATTAAGATTCACCTGTGTACCAAAAGTGACATTTCCAAGATGATTTCTTTCCATAAAAACTAGTGAGTAAAAGAAATCTTTTCACCCTTGCAGAAGCAAATTACAACATCTATGGTCAATGGATTAGAGTGTAAATATACAGAGCAAACTGAAGGATCTGGAACAGTGCTTGAGCCCAGCAGGACAGCAAGCATGCAATGCACTCTTACTGCTTTGCTTTTGTGGGTTATGCTGTATTCCTGGACAGTTTTAGGTGCTAATAATAAGTGCCTGCAACACCAAAGGATCTACAGTGTATTTTACATGCACATGCAGTTCTCTTTTCTGCAAGTATTGATTACTGCTACATGTGCTATTTTTATCGCTACCATTGATATCTTAGTTCTACATTTCTGGCTTTTCACTCCCGTGAGAAATGAACATGGAAGCAAAACCTAACCGAAATGAAGCAGAAGAAAGAGGAGAAAAAAATGTTCAGCCCAGAAATGCTGTGAAACCCCATCCTTTAGAGTTGCTGAATTTCCTACCTGAAGAAGCAAGTGTAGACATTCAAAGCAACAGGGCTGTGTACCTGCCCCTTGGGCAAGCAGTCACCAGCTCTCAGGAGTTCCTAAGCATTTACAAATATGGCCATGAGTAAAGATATGAGACTGGCTCTGAAATGATTGGAGGAAGAAATAGAAATGAGAGATTAAGTAGCAGTGGGAAAATGGTTGCACTATTCCCTGTAAACAACAGGAAGTAATTTAGAGCATACATTTAAACAGATATGGAATTTATTAAAGGAATACTGCCTAGCTCACAGAAGCACTATAGAACAGGAAAACAAAGCTTAAAATGTGGGCAAAAAAACAGAGAGATCAAAGCAAAACCACACCAGAAGCCCATCTGATGATGACCCCACAGCTGCCACCTTGGTAATGTCAGCTTCATGTCTGCTGGCCTAGCTTTGATACTCTGTGCCATTGCCACACACATTCTGTGATCCACCCAGCTTACAAATATTTAGTGTAAACAATGATTTCAAGAACAGCAACTCCCTCACATAAGACAAAATGACTGTAACTACACTGAGTGCTTAACTTACCTTAAAAATGTGCAACTTATAATATTGAATCCAAATGCATATTTATAACTCATCTCCCAGTAATTCCACTTTGGGATACATCCCTTGGCAAATGCCTCTCAGTGTGCCCAACGATCTCCTGCCTCCGGTGTTTATTGAAAAATAATTTCCCATTTAATTTTTTAATCAGTAGCTGAAGTGAAGATTTTCAACAATTCTTAGAAACTATCAAAGGTCAAAACTGGGATAGAAATAATAATTTTTTAAAATCAATGTTTCTATAAAGATAGGAAACAAAGAAAAATATAATTTTAAAATTTCACTCTTAAGTACAATTTAAGCAATTTTAGGACCTAAAAACTGTTCCCATCTGTACTTTATATCATTACTCCCTAAATTTGTTTATGGTTCTAAGGCTTGTTTGTGTTTTTCTTCCAGGACTGTCACACCCCAAGTCCCTAAAATATACCGTATTCACTTAGTTGGTAATGTAAAGAACAGAAATCTGACCCTAAGATGGTGAAACAGATTCAAAGATTTAAAAGAATATTTTTAGGCAAAATGGTCTTAGATCAGCCACTTTTAATAACAACAATGATGATGATGAGATAAACTTTTCTCCTATAAAATGGGCCGTCACTTCACCTGAAAATGAGCCATCCCCTTTATTCTGGTGGGTGGGCCATCACTTTTCTCCTGTAAACCAAGCATAAATTTTCTACTAACTCAAAAATTCCACAGATTTCCACCCCCCCCATATACATAAATATCGCCAGCTCCAGACTATAATGTTCTTCTCTTTTGAGAGGTCTATTTTCTTGGATTGGGTACTTTAAATTCTGTCTAATAAGCCTCTTTACGCTTCTCAAAAAATAAAAATAATAATAATAAAAATCAGTCTTTCTCAATTAGAAGAGAGACTAAATACTTTCAAAAGCCTGGAACACTTAGAATTAATAGAATGGAGTCTAACAATGTTAAATCTCTCTCTTCCGTTTTTTAAATAACCAACTGTACAAGTGCAGGACAGTCAGAGTGGATTTGTGGGGATATTTCCTCTTAAAATTACTTGCAGGGCTTGAGTTGACCACAAACCTAATATGCATGTTATATGACAGCTAAATTAGCTCTGCTCTTAGGTTACATCTGGGCCTGGTGTTCAACCAAAGGAAGACATAACTGTCTTCTATTATGTGGAAAAGGGGAAAAAACTTAAAACCGTAGAACTCCAGCTAAACATGAGCTGTATTCCTCTAGGAGATAAAACATGAGCAAGTGGATAGAAATTCTGTGAATATATTTCTTGTTTGAGTTCCTTAAGAGAAGGCTTCCAACGGTCGGTCAGTTGAATAAGGTACTGAGCTACTACTGGAAATAAGCAATAAACAAATGAGATGGCTCTCTAATTATTCCCTACCGGGTGAGAGATATTTAAAGATCTTTGGTTTACTTGATATTCTTTTGCATTTACATTTTTTTATCTTCTCAAAAAAGAAAATACACTTTCAGGGCAAAGAAAGAAGACTAACAATTTTGAGAACAAACTATATTCAAGGTTCTTTACCCTACTGATCCCAAGCAGAAGCCTATAGCAAAAGAAACAGTCCACTAGGGCTCACAGAGTGACAAAGATAAAGTTATTTTAAAATTATACCCCATTCTATACCCATGCAGGATGAGGAAGAGCTGATTTAGGAGGCTATTTCCTATGAAAATAACTTGAGGGGTTTGCGCTGACCACAAACCTAATACGCATGTTATAAGATAACATGCATTATACAAAATTATTACAAAATTGCCTTATTTTTGTTACTCTGTTTCCCTTCAGTTCTGCTCAGTGGGGTTATCCTTTCCCTTTATGGATTAAATCTTGGGCCAACCCATGACTTCACTCAAAACAATTAGATACTAGTTCTATAGTTGCTTTAAATTGCATGTGCAATCTAATTTATAATTCAAAACATCCGTGATTGCATTACAATCAAAAGTTGGCACTGATGTAAAGTGAAAACACTCTTGTCTCCCCACTCCCATTGGCCACAGCCTGCCTTTGGTAGGTTGCCTGCAGTGGTGGTGAGCAGTGGGAAAAGGTTGATGGAAAGGGAGGTAAAGTGCAGGGGAAAGTGCTGCAACTGGTACTTTGTAAGACAGTGGCCCATTCTCCAGGAAGGTATGCAT